AGACAGAATATGCCAGGGAACAGAATGTATATACATAACAACTTTATCATCTTTTAAGTTTCACGTGTCCTGGACTACAATTCCCAGCTAGTAAGTCAAACTTTTGTGCTCACTGAGAATTATGAGACCTATAGTTCAATGCACCTGAGTATAATAGGGTGCCTTGATAGAGGACTAAGTCACCTCAATTGGAAAGTATGGTTCCATAATAGGTTTAGAGAAGAAACCCAACTTTTATCACTTTTAAATACAGCTGTCACAATATAGTACAAAGTTATATAAATGCAGAGGTTATACTTTTTTAATTGAAGTTCCTAGCTATTAAAAAAACAAGAATGAAGCCTGCCTGCATGAAGTTTACTTTACAGTTTATAGGGGCCCTTGTAAAAATTTGTTTAAATTGTTGTTTTTACTGGGGGTTTTTTTGTTTTGTTTGCCATCCAGAGTTTTCTTTTGGTAGATGGGCTGCTATATGTGTTTAATGAATAAAATAGATGAGTAATATTGACATCCATACAATCTTACACAGTATGTACCTACTCAATAGTTCCCTTGAAGGTAGTGAGGCTTATTTTCAGGTCAGTGGATATTGATGACTTCATCCTAACTCACTGTCAACAAATGTCCCCAGTCTCCACATCTGGTGGAGGCTGCTTCAGATAGCATATCAAGCAAACATGGTGTCCATGGACTGAGTTTGGTACTTTCTTAATTTATATGCTTCAAAATAACAGCCAACAGTGTTTTTCTTCTCCAATACAACACATTGATTTAAAAATTCTTGTATTTGTTGCTATAGTAAAGAACAGATATTTGTATGATTTTTGCCTGAGGGAAATTAACTGATTAATTTTGAGTGCTTTTATCAACAACCCTGTTATATTAGCTTTAATCTCAGGTAGCAAAAGATCTTAGGCCAGGGTCTATTATTTTAAATATTACATGCCTTCTTTTGAAATATTATGTTAACAATGCATATTTTCAACAGCAGTCTAACCCTTACAACTTTCAGATCTCAATTTAAATAATGCACATCCATTTAAAAGAATTAACTACAATGGTTCCTTATTTATTGTCAGAAACCCAATTTTTAAAAAGTGATATGATCAAGAGGCTATGACATATTAGCAAACTACCGTTTAAACTTCCTAAATAGCAACATATCATTCCAAAGTAGAATAAGTTTAGTCCTTTTGGCTTTTACTGGCAATTGCAAAGGGACAAACTTCTGTGACATTCTTAAGAGGCTGCAATAAAAGATGCTATCAAATGGAAATTGCATAGTGTCATATTTGGTTCATGCTTAATGAATGGATATAACTGCAGATCACTAGTCAAAGCAAACTGGCCAATGCAACAGGATCCACATTATAATTTTATGGATATATCTGAGCATCTGAGCACTTAATATCTCTGTTATTCATTAATAATGTTCATATACAACCCAAATCCCAAAGGATGTGGGTTTTTAAAATAAGAGATTAAGTGTAAAAAAATAAAAAGCAATACATTATTTCCTTCCATTTATACAGCTTCCCATCTCATAACAATTCTGAGTAGTTTAAAAACAATAAAACATGAACAACAGCTGAGAAAATACCATAAAAGAGATTCTCTGTAAATAAATTATATACTGTTGCTGCCCAACTTTATAGCACTGAGGACTAAGCTTGTAGGTAAATGAATGGAAGTCTCTTCTCTCAGAAGCCTTCTGGGTCTATACAATTTAGGTCCTTTGGTGCAGTAGTTTGGTAGTTATTGAAACTATAGGTAATCCTTAATGACTGGAATTGGAAACTGAGATTCCATTGCTAAATAATGTAGTCAAAAAGTGTAGTATCACTTGGATGTTCCACTCTGCAACAACAGCTCCAGCAGTCTCCAGCTACCGTTGTTAAGCAAGGACCATGTGGAACCATGACTTGATTTTTCCTATGGTTTTCCCATAATGTTGCTTGTGGTAAGGCTGCAGGGAGGACTGCAGTCACAATTATGTGACCACAGGTTGAAAAATCTGGCTGAATGCCCAAATTGTGATCACATGATGCAGGGGCATTGCAACAGCCAGCCCTTAAGAACCAGTCATTAGTACCACTCATTCAGTGCTAATGTAAATTCAGTCACTGAATGAAAGGTTGTTAATCCAGGACTACTAATATTATCTGTTTTCCAGGAAGTGCCTCACTTAGTGAGCCAGGGAACCAGATCTCCCACTATCTGTATTATTTTCTAGCACATTAAAAGCGAAAAAGAAAAAAGAAAATATATACTGCCACTGCCAACTTTATAGCACTGAGGCATTTGACTAACAGAATCTACTACTCTTTACCACCACCTCTATGGGCAAACAAAAGATGAATAAAATCAGACTTTATTAAAGGGGGAAAAGGAAACGTGTAAAAATTATGTTTTCATTTTATATAGTAACAAAACAGCGTCAAATGAGATAAAACTATATATAGTTTTTCAGATCACAGACATCATCTTAAAAGAATCTCTATGGAGATTCTCAGTCATCCAGGTCATGATTGTCCCAAGTACCTAAGACTTTGTTTTTTCCTGATGTTTTCCAGATGTTTCACTTCTCTTCCAAGAAGCTTCTTCAGTTTCAATTTCGGCTTCAGAATTGAAGAAGCTTCATAGATGAGAAGCAAAACATGTTCAAGGAAAAAAACAGTGAAAGTCAGTTGCCTTTTGAAAAAGCACCTTTGAGATATCTTAAAAGAACTTTGGACACAAAAATAGACATTAGAATCTCCGGCACACCACAAATTATGCTAATCTGCTCTTTTTTACATATAGCTCTACTGTACTGGTATTGAAGGTCTAAGTTACAAAACACATAGTTCTTGAAATGGCATAGAAACAATCAATACTCGTTACTAAGTATCATACTTTAAATACACAAAGTTAAAATCAAAACAATCTTATGTCAGCTTACTAACTTTTTTCCTTTTCCTATTGAGAATTGATGGACTTTTGGAATATGTGTCGATTTGTTACTGAAAAAACCATTATTCCTGCATATTCCAAATTAAATCTGAGGTCAAGAACAGATCTTTAGCTTTGGCCAGGAACTTCTGTCTTGGTTAAAACAAAACAAAACGATACCTCTAGCATTAAAAAGAGGAAATATGGGGTAATCTGCAGTCTGATGTATAAATCGAAATTTGCAATTTGTCTAGTGTGGAGATGAACTCTGATGGAATGTGAACATGATAGCTTTACAACAGTTAACAATGTGAAAGTAGCCCCAAGAGCAAATCCAGGTAGTCTTTGACTTCGTTTTGTCTTCATTTAGAGACCGTTGAAATGGTACTGAAAAAATTGACTTATGACCATTTTCCACACTTTTCACACCATTGCAGCATCATGGTCACATGATCAAAATTCAGATACTTGGCAACTGACTCATATTTATGATGGTTGCAGTGTCCTGAAGTCATGTGATCACATTTTACAACCTTTTGACAAAAAATGTCAATGGGGAAGCCACATTCACTTAACAACCGTGTTACTAACTTAACAACTGCAGTGTTTCACTTCACTGTGGCAAGAAAGGCTACAAAATGGAGCAAAACTCAGTTAACAAATGTCCCACTCAGCAACAGAAAGGTTCGACTCAATTGTCAGAAATCAAGGACTACCCATAATAACATTTCTGAAAGCATGGAAAGATTACAAGGTGAAGTCAACCAATCACACAATGCAGTGATGTATATACATGATTCTACCAATAAAGCAAATGTTTTACTTAGCACCAAGAAATTCATAAACTGTTTTCCTATGGTCATTTGCAAACTGAGATGCTAATACTATTCTTTTGAAACTGACAGGGTGGATCTCATTTGGTGGGGCAGCTAGGGAAGAACCTCTGCAGTTGATCTTTAGTTCTTGGCAGGTATCCTAGCATTGAAGGGATCCAGAAACTAAATGAATCCAGAAACTCTTGGACGCCAAAGAAATGTGTTGACATAATGTTCAGTCCCAGATCAAATTAATTTAAGCATAATAGGTTAAGAGTTTATCTTTGACCAATAACATAGGCTTGTCCCTTGTTGCTTTCATGTTTCTGAACACAAAATCAACCCATAATGTTCTGTAACACTCACTTTTCACAAATGTTGTGTAGCAATTTCATAAATACGATTGGCACAGAAGTGATTGCTTTTAAATCGTATACATAGTGGGTACAATATGAATAAGTACGGAGAAAAATTTAATAGGGAAAGAAAAAAAAATCCTGATTGTCATTTCATAAAGCTAACAATTTACCTATTATCTATACAGCCTTCATTTAAAAAAAAACCCTTTATTTTTTGTTGATGTTCTTTTTGGAAAGGAAAAAGCTATTTTCCCACAGCTAGTTAAGGTCATCGAAACGCCATTTCTTCTCTTAAAAAGAGGCATCCCTTCCTGTTTCTACGCGATTCTATTAAACATAGATTCAAAAAGCTAATCTATGCAACAAAACAGCTGCTGTCTTGCTGATGTCTGAATCTCGGGTTTTAGCTTGACTTGTTGCTGGTGTCACAAACTGCGGGCCTCAGCCCACAAAGGTTTTGCTCATCAGCCTCTTCCCCATTTACACCTAACGAAAAGCTACGGAGTCGGAGCCTCCTTCCCTTTGCTTGTCCCCTACGGCAACGTTCCCACGACCTAACCACATCGTCCACCCAGCCACACCTGCAAGGGTGGCCTATTTCTCCCGTCCACGGTCTCCGATTCCCCTTTCCCACTCATTATTTCCCTTTCTCCTCGAATTTCCCTCTTCTACCCCGAAACTAAACCCATCGGCATCCCCCATGGAGGGGGCCGGGGTGGGGGGGACACTCCTCCAGTCCGCGACCTGAGCGACACCCCCCCCCCCTTCCCCGCTTCTCGGCCCGCGGCAAGCTTGATCTCTCGCCCTCGTCCACCCTGGAGCCCGGCTTGATTTCCTTCAGCACCCAGCGGCTCCCCCTCGCTGCCGGCTTCCTGTGTTGCAAGGAGCGGTGCGGGTAAAAAACGAAACTCCCGCTTCCGCCCAGGTAAGAACAAGCCAGGATCGCCCAGCGACAGGTCTCGCCCCCAGCCGAGCAGGTAAGCCCTTCGGCCGAAATCGGGCGCGCTCCCGGCTACCTTCCGGGAAGCCACCCCCCACTCCCAGTCGACCCTCTTAGCGGGGAGGAGAACCGGCGGGCAGGCGCTGGGAAGATGCAGTCAGTCGGCCACTTCCTGAAGGCTGGAAGTGTAATGGAAAAAAAGAGAGAGAGACTTGGGGGAGAACTTGTTGCGCTTCGGGTGGGCGGGTTTGCTGAGCCTTTATGGTGGGGCGTCCCTCCCTCCTCGCGGTAGGGTTTTTCTTTGAGGCGTTTGTTCAGAGCTATATTTTATCTATCTATCTGCTTAGATCCGATCCCGGTTGCCCCTGTAGAGGCTGGATTTCCTCGGGGGGCGGGGGGGGGGGAGGACTTTGCCCTCGTCTCCTGATCGTGGCTTATTTTGAAAGTCGCCCGGGTTGAAGCCTTGAGGGAACAGCTTAAAAGCCGCTAAGTTGAGTGCAAAGTACAGGCGTGACGGGATATTTTCAGCTCGGCTCAAAACGCTCGGTAAACGTTCAACAGCAGCAGCAGTGTTGTGGTTGTGCGGTCTTAGCTGCCAACCACTCAACAGGGCTGACCTTTGATTCGAGGCTGGGCTTGGGGGCTCGTTCCTTGCTGGGAACTTGATTCGGGGAATAAATAAACCCAAATGGTGAACACGTAAGAAGAGGGGAGCTCCTTCCTTGGGGATCTCTGTATTGATCCTTGATCGGCTGTTTCTGGGCTAAACAACCCACCGTCATTGATGGCGAAGCTCAAGGTTTGGTATGTGATTGGGAACCCCAGACTTGTGCAATTCAATTCCCAGAATTCCCCCCCCCCCCAAAAAAAGTTACTTTTATAAGAGTAATCCTCGTTCACTAAGTGTAGATATTTATGCACTGGATAGCATGGAAGAAAAGAGAATGGAAAGTGTGCTTTTTAGGATAGCTTTTTTTCACTTTGGAAATTAAGTACAGTACTAATCCTTATGAAATAAATATTAAATAATATTGACATTATAGAGTACTAAAACTTCATTATGAAATCAATATTAAAATAGATTTGCTTCAGAACGCATTTTAAACTCCCAATCTAAAACTCACAAATAAAGCAAAATTTCAATATTATTTTTTAAAAATATAAAAGAGCAAATTCTTTCAATGTTCTACTTAAATCTGGACATACTGGGACAACTAGAATATTATTATCCAAGAGGTTATATTTATTGTATCTGTTGTGAAAGAATGCTTCAAAACAGAAGAGGGCTTAGATGATGATTGATGTAATGTCCTAGAATTTTCAGTTTCTCTTGTTGCTGAATTTGCATCTAAGAATTTACATATCCCCCAAAGCAGGACTGGAGAGAAGGCTTTTGCAGTTCCAGGATCACTGTATGCCTGAGAAATCCCAGTTCCCAAGTACAGTCAGGTTTTAAAAAGCCTGTCATGCATATATATCTATTAATACACAGAAGGCCAAATAAAGAAACTTGAGACTATGATGTAATAAAACACATACCTATCCAGGGAGTAAACTCAGTACAGTTTCTGAATAGGCATACTAATAATCATCTGCAAATACCATTAAATAAACACAATGTGACTTATTTAACTTATATGTGACTGATTTTATTCCTTAGTTCTCAATGATGTCAGCCAATGTTACATGCCTATCCGAAAGTAATCCTATTTGAAGTCTGTAGGATTTTATTCTTAATTGGTACACGGTTGCAGCCTAAGGATTTCCATTTGGTGAGACTTTTTTTAAACTGTTCTTCCACATGCTCAAAAAATAAGGAGATGGGTCTGAGTTAGTAATGGAACTGTAAACTAAACTGACAAGTTGAGAGAACATCTGGAAGAAGATACATGAATTTATCCATGAGATAACTGAGATTTAAGGTAGATTTAAGGAGGCTTTATACATGTATTTAAGCATGTATGAGATTAGTATGTTTTAACTATACAACAGGCAAGGATTTCCTAATTGGAAAATGATAATGATTTAAAATTACAGTTCTAAACAATTCTATCACATTGTTGGTTCACATATGAGGTTTTATTTTTAGCTGAGAGTAATAGGAAATATACAATGCAAATCCCGATTTTGTTCTTACACTCATCATGCTAAGCAAACATAACATGGTGGCTTAACATTATAAACAGAAAATGCTGCATGATGTAAATTGTCTGGTATTACCCTGAACTGATTTATTTATCTGTAGAAGAAATAATTTTGCATTCAACATGGGATAAAATACAGATTTCGGTAGCATGCCTTCTCTTTATCTTGGTATGATTCTATTGATAGCAATGCCCAGTTTATACATATTACAAGATAGTATGTATGTGAAAGTAATATTTAAATAATAGCAGGACAACGTGATGGGAAACCTTTTGTGTTGGTCTAGATTCTATCTCTATGTGTGGCAAGACAGTCCTCAATTCATGAACAAAACTGAGGCCAAAATTTCAATTGCTAAGCAAGGCAGTTTTAAATAAGTTTTCCCCCATTTCACCACCATTCTTGCCACAGTTGTAAAGTGAATCACTACAGTTGTTGTTTTAGTAACACAGTTGTTAAGTGAATCTGGCTTCCCCATTGACTTTGCTTGTCAGAAGGTTGCAAAAGGAGATCACATGACCCCGGGAAATTGCAACCGTCATAAATACATGCCAGTTGCCAAGTGTCAAAATTTTGATCAGAGGATTACAGGGATGTTGCAATGGCCATAAGTGTGAAAAATGGTCAAAGGTCACTTTTTTTCATTGCTGTTGTAACTTTGGTCACTAAATGTAAGTTGAGGACTTGATGCATGTAAATAACCAGGTTGCTTGTTTAAGATTGATCTGGACCCACGGTAATACTTGTATACACATATATATCTCTTTAGAGATATATATTATTTTGCCACATTAAAAGGGTACAGAAAGAAATATAATACGCACTTCTTTCTGTACCCTTTAATGGAGCAATAACAGGCATATGTAAATGTCTGCTTGCCATTTATGTTCTTCAGAGTAGGATATGTTGAAAGTCAAAGTTTAATCTGCATCTTTATTCTAAAATTTAGGCCATATTGAATCAACAGTGCAAATAAGCCAGGATGCCAGAAAATCCAATTGCAGGTAAGTATGTTTGAAATAAGCTTATCACATGGTTGAAACATTTCAATTATCTTTAGTATGTTTTTTTTAATGAATTGTTATGATGTTTTTGGGGAATCCATCAGATAAGCAGCAGATCCTGAAGATTCTGGAACGTCTACTAATGAAACTTCATGAGAAAGGAGACACTTCCCACAGTGATAATCTGGCTTTTCTATACAATACTCTTAAGAACCCTTTATTCAATCACGTGCTGACTCTTCAGCAGTCAATAAAGCAGCTGAAAGAACAAGTGAGTAATAAAAGAGAAAGATTTGATGGGTGCTGATTGGTTATGTTTGCAAGATAGTTTTGAAGTGGTAGCAATGTTCGTGGGAAGTATCAGGATCACATCAATATGACTTATTACTTTCTATGTACAATGAGAGCTTTGCACTAGGGCCAAATTCCTTGTGTGTCCAATCACACGTGCCAAATTAAGAATTCTGTTCTATTCTACTCTACTCTACTTTACTCTAGTCTACTCTTATTCCTATTCTGCACCATTTCCTCTTCCTGTAATTCATTATTTAGTAGTTTGATTGAATTAGCTGAAGTGGACAGGGTTCTGAGTTTCCAAAAGCTTTTCATCGGACATCATGGTTCTATGGAAGAAGAAGAAAAAAAGAGGGAGATAACTGTATATGAAGATAACTGTATAACTGAGATAACTGTAATTGAAGTTCAGCAACATTCTGCTTTCTCTACCTGCCATTTTGTCCAGACTTGCTCAACCATCGCAACTTTGAGATGTATAGGCTTTTAACTCCCCCAAACTACCAAACTATCAGTTGTTGGTGCTCTGTCACTGGAGGCTTTTAAGAAGAGAGTGAATAGTCATTTGGTTGGAATGGTATAGTGTCTCCTGCTTGAGCCAGGGGTTGGACTTGAAGACCTCCAAGGTCCCTTCCAAACTTGTTATCCTGGTCTGTTAAAATTCCACATCTAGCATAAATATGACCTGTTAGAAGAAATATACCACTCATGACAAATTTGACATGACAAATCAGGGAAGAGTGATATTTGTACAAATAGTCCTTAACTTATGACCAGTTAGTTCAAAGTTAAGACAGCCTTGAAAAGTTTTTTTTCAGCCCATAATGCACTTTCTGCTGTCATAAAATGTTATGCCTTCCCCCTCAGTTCCATGATTACGAGCTGGATGCTTGGCAACCTGTTCCCACTCACAACTGGTTGCCAGGGGCCCCATAATTATATGATCACATTTGCAATCTTTACTGCCAAAGTCAGTTGAGAAGCCAGCAAGGAAGTTTGCAATCTCCTCCTGTCTACTGAGAAGTCTTCCTCTCATCACTGAGAGCCTGGCTGATGGTGTGGCCTACCAAAAGGAGCTATCAAGGGGAGCAGAAACGGAACTCGGATCCAGAATATCCAAACTCCTTTGAGACCATCAGAGCAGTTCCCTTCCATGCATATTCCACTGAACAATCTGGGAGATTGCTTAATGACCATAACTGGGATTGCTGGCATTCATTGAGTGAAACAATCACACTAACTCACTTAACAGCTGCTTTGCTCGGTGACTTGAGATTTTGGTCTCAATTGTAGTCATAAATCAAGGATTACCTAAACATTACTTTTGTGTGAAAATACATGGCAGAACTGAACACTTTTGACAGTTAAAAAAATAATCAAGAACACTTTATTTAGCAAAAATAACACTAAGAATTAGATCAAGGTTTATTATATTTTTATCGGGATTTTTCTGAGAAGAATCTCAGAGCATTTACATGATTTGTCTCCACAATCACATTGGTATAAACATTATTATGGAATAGGCTTGGTTTAAGACAAGAAACAGCCTCAAATCAAATTTAAAAAGCATAAAAGGTCCAAGACCAACAATAATGAAAAATTAGCACATAATACAATAATTATGAAATAAAAATTCAAAATTGCAAGAAAATTCTAAAGCAATTCTCAGGTAACAATTAATAGTATAAAGGAGGAACCAGGTGGCTTTTAACAGCTATGGTTGTGAATAAGAATTTTGCAAACTTCTTAGAGGTTTATGCAAGGTAATCAGCCAGGAAAAAAATAACAGTCTCCTGGTCCCATTGACAATTAGTGCTATTAACGATTGGAAATATGAAACCTGATCACCATTGGGTGTGCAATGGACATTTTAATAGCAGTTGTGAGATCATTCTGCCTCCAAGTTTGAATAAAAACAAGTTCAGCTCTCATATAACAATCTTATATTTCTGTTATTGCCCTAATAGTAGCACCCCAATTTGGGCCAAAGTAAATAGTCTTCTATTGCATATAAGATATTACAGTATTATCTATACTAGCTGCCAGTGTAATTTTGAAGATATATTTATCTGGATCATCTCCAGTCTTCACCTGATATTCCCTAAAGCATTACATCACTTCAGTTAATAGCTGTCATAAAGACTGTATTCTTGTCTCAACAGTCTACAGCAGAGACTGGTTTTGTGACTTCTGTGGTAATTCCTATGCCAAAATGTGTTTAAACTGTATTTTATTTGATACAGAATAACAAGATGCTTGTATATGGACTTATATTCCAACCTAGTAAGAAAGCTTTAGGGAGTAACATGTTACTGAAACATATAGGATTACAGCTTAGTCCCCCATGAATCGCTGATGCACACCATTTCTTTAAAAAGCTATAAATCATTATAGTGCCATTTTTTCTTGTCAGTTTTCAAAAGCAAAGTGCCTAAACCTTGAAGCTAGAAATGTCTCTGATAGAAAAGAAATGCTGTCCAAGGTATACATGTGGTTTCAGATATTCTGTTTGCTCTACTTTTTTTAAATAAAACCTTTGAGTTAGTCTTGATTCTTGGCAACCATATGGAAGAGTCCATGCAGTTTTGTTGTCAGATTTTCAAAAGTGGCTTGTCATTATCATCATGAGGACCCAGATTGTTGGGGGCAATACGCTAACTCTGTAAACCACTTAGAGAGACCTGTAAAACACTATAAAGTGGTATCTAAGTCTAATTGCTATTGTTATCTTCCTATGGCCCCAAAAACTTTAACCTTAGACTGTCTACTATTGACCTCACCCCTTTCCTAAGAGGTCTGTAGGGGGCGTGCATAAGCGCACCAACGTGCCTACCGTCCCTGTCCTATTGTTTCTTTTATTTTTCTTATATGTACCCATTTCATGTATTCATAACTATGTATATACTTATACCTATTATCTTTTAAATGATTGACAAATCAAAATAAATAAAATAAAATAAAATAATAAAATAATAAAATAAAATAAAATAAAATAAAAAAAGTCCTCTGGTTCTAAAATGTGTAGTGTGTGGACAGGAGCAAAATGAAGAGGCACTGATGATTTGTCCTTGAAGATTAAAAGAGGTTTTGTGGATTATTGTGATTTTTTTTGTCTTTGAAAATGAAGATGCAGATCACTGTAATTAAATATGTCCTTCTTAGAAAATATATACAGATCAATCTCATTAAAAGTAGTCCTTGACTTACAACAGTTCGTTTAGTAACTATTCAAAGTTACAATGTCACTGAAAAAAGTAACATGACAGTTTTTCACACTTGCAGCCTCCCCATGGTCACATAATCAAAATTCAGATGCTTGGCAACTGACTCATATTCATAATAGTTGCAGTATCCCAGGATAATATGGTCATTTTTTACAACCTTCTATAAAATGGGGCAAAACACATTTAACAAATGTCTTGCTTAACATCAAAAATTTTGGGCTCAATTGTGGTCGTAAATCAAGGACTACCAGTATTATTTGTTACTTTTTCACAGTTGGATTGGCTGGATTATATAATTCCAAAAAACCCCACAACAATCCTGAGAAATTTGTACTTTCTAGTGTTTAAAGGTTCTTTTATGTAAAAAAACAAAGAACAAAGTGAAATAACAACAAGTGAAATAACATCAATCCTAAACTAAAAGGGTCAGTTTATAATAACAAATCAGGATAATTATTTTTTCTACCTTTTTGTTTCAAAATAATTCTCTTTGGGGGTGGGGGGCAGTTTCATATACGTGAGGTAAATAATAAGGAGAATATTGACATGTTCAGTGATTCAGTAATATTCCAGAAAGGAAAGTTGTTTTTCAAACTGAACTTCCATCTTATTTAAGCAGTATTATATGCCAATTAATGCTATTCTTTTGTATTAATTATTAAGTATTTAGAATTTGTGGTAACATCTTTTCTTGTTCCTCACAGCTTAGGTATATGCCTCCAGATCGTTCAGTGGATTTTGATTTTACTAGGCGAGGGTTGCTGGTATTTGGGGCTGACCCACATCCTGTTGTTAATGGGAACATCCAGAATGATAAGCAAATGGCTCCACTAATTTCCAGATTTGAAGTGGATGAATTTAATTTGATAATCCAAAAGATGGCAAAGGTAAAAATGCAGTGGTGCATTATTCCAAACTGTATGGTTACTAAAGTCAGTTTCTGAATCATGAATTAATTTTTTTAAACCAAGTCTCATTGCCTCCTTAGCATCTATATACATATATCAAGATCCCTCACAGGCCTAAAGTACCACCAAGCTTGGTGCTGCTTAGCAAAGATAGTATTTTGATATTAAGGTTACTTATACTGTATGGCAATTGTAACTCCAAGTTGAAACAAAGTGGATGCAATTCGGACTCCTCGCTTTGTGACTGATGATCCTTGTTTAACAACGGCAGTGGAGATTGACGGGATTGCCTTTGCTAAGTGATGCAGTTACATAATGTTACACTTTATGGCTGCATTGCTTAGCAATGGAAATTCCTGTCCCAATTATCCACTAAGCAAGGACTAGCTGTATTTTTAGGAGAAATGTGTGTGTCTGTGTGTGTCTGTGTGTGTGTATATACATACATACATACATACATACATACATACATACATACATATATATATAGTATATGTGTGTGCGTATGGCATTCAGCTTTGTTCGGGTATTATCCCACGTCATTATAGTTGTGCTTTTAAAGTTGTAGTGACGTTTCGGCAGAATCTCATCTGCCATCATCAGGCTTATGATGATATACACACACACACACACACACACACAGAAAGAGTTTATATTAATATAATATAATACAGTATATAATATATATATAGTGTATGTGTGTGTATATATATATATATTATGTGTGTGTGTGTGTGTGTATATTGTATATATATATATATTTATTCAGGTATTTTCCCACGTCATTGTGGTTGTGCTTTTAAAGCTGTGGCAATGTTTCGGCAGAATCTTATCTGCCATCATCAGGCAATACAGAAGTAGACGCAATACAGAAGCCTGATGATGGCAGATGAGATTCTGCCGAAACGTTGCTACAACTTTAAAAGCACAACTACAATGACGTGGGAAAATACCCGAACAAAGCTGAATACCATACATGTAAGTACCCGCGAAAACTTAAGAATATATATATATATATATAGTGGTTTTAGACAGTTGCAGCTATCATCTTCACCTTTTTGACCACCCACTCCTGTGCATACTTCCAACGCTTGTTAACCTGCTTTCT